TTATATCAATCACAACTTACGGTAGTTTCTCTCCACTGCTGGGAACAAATGCCTTTCCTAAGTTAAGCTTGGAACTTTTGAGTTTATCTTGCCGTCGGCGCTTGACTGGATCAGTAAATGCTTCTCCTTCCATGATTCTGTTGAATTTTTGATCAAAATATCCAGACTGGAGAGCTGATCTTGTTTTGCTCCCTCCAGGCAGCATCTGTTTTCCTTTATGAGCTTTAACATTGAAATCTGCACCAGAAAAACATTGTGCAGTTGTATTAAATGTAAAAATGTTTCTGAAGTCATGATTTTTTTGGAATTATGAAGCCAGACATAGCTACTCATATATAGATGGGTTGGTAATTCTTCTAACTTACCGGTATGTTGTCCAGCCAGAAAACCAATGGCTGAGCTAAAAAAATGTAATGGGGACTTAATAGTATCAACAATGGCCATATCCAATATATCAACAGCAAGTGATCTGAGAGTTTGATCCAAGAAGTAGCATTGGGCTGTCTGCAGACCACTACAGTTGAATACCGCTACGTCAAACCCCCAGGAAAGCAAAAAATTGAGATAATGGGAATTGATTTCTTATCCATGCCAAAGAAATGCTTTGCTTCTTTGGCCAGTTTATATCCCAAGCAAATATTTTAAAGTTAATTTTATATTAATGTGAAAAAAAGAAGCGAAACTAACAGGAAAAATACCCTGATTGAAAAAAAATAAAAAATAAAAAAAAATAAAAAAAATAAAAAAAAACAATAAATAATCATGTCCCACAATTCTCAGATTGCGTAGACTAGCAGTGAAATGTAAGCTTAGATTTCACTCTACTTTCCTAACAACAGTGAAATTATGGACTGTTTAACACGCTTCCGTCGTTTTAAAGAAACGTAAGTAAGTTGTGATAGACCATTTCATTTGGAGACTGTGAAGAAAGCTACATGTAGCCAGTAAAACAACAGCTTTGTCCTATGAACACAGTTGATCGCAGCAAGCTATGCCTGAACACCTCAGGAGCAAACTGACATTAGAACTGTTACAAATAATTCAACTACTGTTGGCGTTTGATACTTACTCGTACTCTGTCTTTTATAAGGATCGCCAATCGAAATGTAGCCCAACTCACTGAACAAGCCGACACGGTTCAGATCATTCTTCGTGTCCAACTTCGCCATGTTGCGTAAAACACTCGATCTAAAGCCTACAACTTACACAAAAAGCTCTAATATTGCAGGTATTATCCAAATCTAAATAGAATTGGGAACTGAGGTTGCAGATTTTTCTGAAAAACTTTTTTCGCGAAGACAACCAAACAATCAACAAAGCGTGGCGTTTGCACCAAACTCACTTTGTTGTCATAGCAACATAGCCTTCGCAGCCTCGCCTGTATTTTATACCATGAAAAACTGGCTCAGAGTTTGGAATCAAACATGGCGGAT